GCTCAACTATACCGGTCTTGTGCTTGCGTTTTTTTTCTGATTGGCCTATTTCGATCCACAACTGGGTATATATATTTCATCGTTTTCTTTCGGACCCTGATTCTGAGGAGTGTCTGAGGATTGATGTTTTATGCTCTGAGGAGTGTCAGAGGAAAAAGCTTTTAGCCAATATGTTTCAAAATGTTTGCTTTTTCAATGCCAAAATAAGCTCACCATAATCCGGTAATAGAAAGCACACGCTTTACGAACAGATGCAGAGAAACTGGCACGTTCTCCAACTCAAGACCTTAAACCGCATGGGCAGTAGAAAAGTAACCCAGGTTCAACCCTGTTTTGCATTTACACTAAATTTTTCAAAACGAACCCGGATCTAGTCGGCCTGGGTTGAGTCGGCCCAGGCTGAGTCGGCCCGGGTTGAGTCGCCAGGGTGGAAATCACACTTCAGTTGCTTCTTTTGGTCGCTCTATAAACTTCCGCATCATAGATGGAGAAGGGGTGCTAAAGCCCTCCACTTGATGCAAAAAATGCAACTTATTAAGAAGTAAACCACTAGTAAAGACACTTTTTATTCGGTTTTAGCAACTCCCTTTTTAAACGCCTAGTTTTCGGAACCTAGCAGTTTGAAACTCTTATTTGCACTTTTATATTTGTTTTTGGTTTGCTCAAGATGTCTTTCATTTTCATGAATGCATCTTTGAACATACCTATACGCCTTTTGATGTCCTTATATCCAGCTGCCAAGAAACTTTCAGCAATCTTCAAGCTGTATGACTTGTGTCCTTATTTTGAGGTTACAATGAAGTGTCACTCTTTTCTTCACAATGACCATGCATTCTGTCATTATACATATACCGAGCAGTGTATATATAGTTTCCAAGTTCAATCTTATTATTGGATAAATTTGAAAGGTGAAGGCGACTCATCCTGGAATATCGCATTTGAAAAAAATAACTCGAGAGAGCATCATCAAATACATTTGTGAAAGCAGGTAAATGTCTTACAAATTGGCTGTGGTATGGAGACAAGAGCACAACCTCTTTCAAGGCAAATCCGTTGGCAACATCAAATCTATTGACTACCTCTTCTATTTAATAAACTTCAAGTGATATGAGTCGGGACGACAGGCCATAAATTTCTAAGAGAAACTGTTTATATTTTCAACAGTATTTTCTAAAATTTTCACTGTTTGTTAAATTAAAAAGGAAATGGTCCATTTCAAATTCTTTTGTAAACAGGTTAAATATGAAGTGTTGTGTACATAAACACTGAGTCTAAAGCTCAGTAAATGAAGATTCTGGTGAAAATAACGTAAATAACTGAAAATTTAGTCATGTTACGGTTTTATTTCTAATTATGTTGCTTGCCTTTCAGAACTTTGTTTTGAATAGAATTGCTGGTGGCAAATGCCTGTTATATAAAGCTGTAATCGTTCTTCAGTTCAAATGTTGTCGATGACTTGTAAAAGCGCAATACGAACAGCAATTTGAGTTCCGATGCGACGAAAATTTGCACTAAATGCCATCTTCTGCTACAGTGTGACTGGACAACAAGAACATCTTCTGTGCTTGCAGCAATTGATTCAGTGTGAAGATACATCTCATCTACATCTCATGTATAGCACAGATTTCTGGCAAACTTTAATTGAAAATAATTTCCTTGAACGAGAGTCAACTTAATGCAAGGGAGATTGATTGGACATTATCGGATACTGATCACGAGAAAAGGAAAGAGAATATCACACTGTTTCTGATGATACAAGACCAGTGCTTCCCTGACACACACTTTGTATAAAAATGAAAACGACATTGGCACCGGTTCCTGCATGCAAAAGTATTACCCCAGATGTGTCTCAGTTGTCCAAATCCCATAGACTTGCAATGTTCTCCTTCAATGCAGCTCTAATACCAATTACTTTAGTTTCCAACAGTGTCGTGATTATAGGCCTACTTCGATCTAAATCATCCGGCTCAAAGTTGTTGATCGTTTTTCTTTGCATAACAGACCTGTTAGTTGGTGTTTTATTAATGCCTGTAAGTAGTGCCTATATTCTCTCTCCAGTGGTACATAGCAGCTGCAATGCAAAGTTTGCCATACAGTTTCTGTCCCACACCTTTCTTTTCTTAGACTTTACAACTGTCTTAGCTATCGGCATTGAACGGCTTATAGTTTTAAAATATCCGATGCAAGACTTGTTTTTTCGATGGCAAGCCGTTCGTAAGTACGTCTTGATGTGTACTATTTTCTGTGTTCTGCTTTTTGCTTTTATCGTCATTCTTGTAACAAATTACAGTGACGTCTACTACGCCGTCAAATTTGCGTCTTTCGCTATCTATGTGGCTATTTTAGTAACGTTAGTAAGTTGTTATGCGATAGTCTGTCGCCATGTGCGAAACAGTGTGAAAAAGTTGTACAACGGAAATGACAACCATATACAGTCAAGATCTAGACAACTCAGGCATGATATGGCCCTAGCAAGATCAGTCACAGTCATTCTTTCTTTCCAGTTATCAATGTGTGCACCATATTCCATTACTATGCTTTTCTGGAATTGGGAGATGTTCAAGTTTGGGAAACCAAAACAGCTCTCAAACACGATCCTGGTTTGGACATTTTTGCCGTTGCTTATAAATTCAAGTGCAAACGCATTTATTTACTCGTATTACAATAGACCGTTAAGACAGTATCTTGTGCAAACATATTCCTGTCTGTTTCGATTCATTCCAAGAAGAAAAGAGACAAGAGGTAATCCTAACGAAGAGGGAAATACTAAAAAGACTAAAGAATCTAGCTTATAAATTTATAAACACAGTACAAGGCACCAACCGCGGAAGTGACAGCTATGAAAATGATAGTCTTACAGAGAAATGGCACACAATTGCATAAATTGATGCCGCTAAAAAGAAACTGCTGCATGAAATCTATAGGACTGTTCGTTCCATGTACATACATTTAAGTTTGGAATATTATTTGCAGTAGTATAAACATATATTGAAGTATTATTATAATCGACTTTTGTAGGGTCCAGGCCCTCGACGTGTTGACCACGTCACGCATTGTTAATCTAACTTCATGCTGCTAGATTTGTTAGAGAGAGGTATTATTGTTACGGACAGGTAGTTAGGCTACTCGTCAAGAACATGGATTGAATTTGTTGAAAATAATTTATTTATGTTATTTATCATATATTCGAAGCCGTGCTTTTCTCTTGACTCACGCATCACACCAAGAAGATACTAGAGCTGAGTGTTAATTGCTCAATAACGGAAACGTATTCAGATATACATCTGTATTCACTCTGCATAAGCTTGTTCACGTTATTTTTCTACTCATTCATTTTTTAACATTCTCACGACCTCATCTCATTGAACGGGTATCCTCTAAGTTACTAAAACATAACACATCCGCTAATCTTTATCCTTAACTTTCTGTTTGCTACGTTTTTCGTTTCACAATTCTTAACTTTATCCCTGTAAATTTGAGAATATAGTGATCATATATCGTAATTAGTATAGCTAAGGATGCTAATTTGTTGAATTGGATGTTCCATCCAGCTCAACAAAAATTCCGACAGCCAATCACGTGCACGTAGAATAAAACACGTAGAATATAACAGTTTTTGTTCTCTAGTTGCACTGAAGCAGAAGCTGAAGGTGGCATGATGATTAAATTATATTACATCAGAGTTGATTTCTCGAGATGCTTTTGAGCTTTAAACAATTCGCTTGAGATTTTTACTATTTCCTATTCACTATGGTCTCATGTGCCCTCCTTCCTCACGTTTTTCTTGTATCTGCTTTACCAGTTAATGGACAATGCGGGAGTCTTTCGGCCTCCTGAGGACTTGACTTATAAAGCTAGGGTGAGGTTTGTGTTTTTTCGCGTTTTCATTCCCTTTGTTTATCTAGGGGTATTTGCGGTTTTGATAAAGTATGGATCTCGCCTTGCTTGCATTTACCTGATTCAGTTTTGACTCTCAACCATAGACGTTTCGATGAGGGCTAGCTTTCAGATAAGTCTATTGATTACCTGCCAGGTATGCGTTTCTCTACTGATAAATCAGATATATTTTCTAACTATTTTAGATAATGCTTCGGTGTTTTTGCAACTTCACCTGATACTGGTACGAATTTCAGTGTTCGAGGTTCGTTCGTAGAAATCTTTTTTTTGTCACCTCTATGGCACCAAACTTGGCTAAAATTCAAACCCACCCCTGAGTTTCACCAGGAAACACAAAAATCAACGCAATGTGTTAACTCAGAACATGGTTTGCTACAACAAAGTTAAATACAAATTAGTAGTTGATAAAGTGCTCCAGCTTTCTCAGTGAGCTTCTTATCTCATGTTGTAATTGCAGATAATCGCTCCACATTCATTTCATAATCCAAATTTCTTCAGTAGAAATTATTTACGGCCTCGTTACCAATACTGTTTTTAGATCGCCAACACGGATAGATAGGTTTAGTTTTTTGAGTTTTCATGACCCACCCTGTAGCTTGTGTCCCCTAATAGCAGTTATTCAACTGTTCCTGGCGAAAATTATAAACAGGATCTGAAGTTTTGTTTATTGATGGTGTTCATGCCTGGAGATTCAAATTTTTGCAAACTACACAAAGTTTTAAGCTTACAGTAAAACTTTTCTGGATAAAAACATCCATTTTTCGATTATTTCTCATTCAAGAAGCCGTAATTTCAAGGCACAGAATGTTACCAAATCCCATGTAAACGAAGGTTTCTATAATTTTCTTATCAAAACTTTTATTTGAGGTCTGAAAATCTCTTGACCTGTTTAGCCGATTATCGTTGCTTTGCCATTGTGGTCGCATGTTTCATTTAAAATATCGCATGGCACATAATGTATGGCTGTGTTTATTTAAACAGGATTAATGATCTTAAAGCTTCAAGTGACTTGACCCGGATTACACTGTGGTTTACCAGTGTCCCTTGCAAGTGCAATTAGTAAAACTCCATTTTCTCTAGACTTCCAATTTCTCTACATACAGGTACGAAAAAGCTTTTTTGGACCCAAGCAACCAATCGAAAGGCCCAAAACTTTGCACGCAGCCAGGACATATCTCGGGTAAGCAAAGTATCTGAAAATTTTTGAATTTGCTCTGGTCCTTCTTTTATAGCCAAATACAGCTTTGTGAGGGAAGAAAAATTATTTGTCAATTTTTGACAGGGTATAGTTTCAAGGGGAGGAGGAATTTAGAAAATTTGAGACACTCTTTGGTAGCTGAGGATCTGCGCTTTCTGTTGATATATGTCAGATCTTGATACCTGAAACGCAAGGGTACAAAATAGCTTTAAAGGTGGTAGATTTGTTTAAGCAATAAATGTGCCTGGAAAATATGATTTTACAATATTTGCCAATTTTTTTAAAAGGCCGGAATCACCACATTCTTGTGCATCGAATGATGTATAGTTTAACCTAATTCCGTCAATAGTTTGGCCTTCAGGGAGAGAAAACCAAATATCGTGTCAAAAACGTTTACCGTAACCTTAAAGTGACTTCAAGTTGTGGCTTTTTTCGAGTTCTTTCTTCTAGTCTTTTACTAAAGGTTGGTGATAAACCATTTATGGAATTAGTTGTAGATCAGGTTAATTGACGATATTTAGCTCGTTGTTATACAAAGATTCTAGATTAGTTTTCCATGGTAGTTCTTCCAGTGTTTCGATGCTCTATGAAGGGTTTCTAAATTATGCTAGATTCGCAAGACCCTTATGGCCTATTTGTTTCTAAGGAATCTATACTTTTGCTTCCCATTTCCTGGAGCGATATAAAGTATCTAGCCTTCATTGACGTACAATAGAGCGAAGATTTGCTTCTGGTTCACCTTTATGAGCAAAAATTATCCTGTAACTCGCCTTTCAAGGGAGAGCTGTTTCCTTAAGCCTAAAGAGTGGAAGTGTGCTGTTAAGTTCTTTCCTCGTGTTATGCTCCGTGGCTAGGCATGCGAACTGAAATGGTCGTAGAATTCGCAAATCTTTCACGTTGATGCCGCTTAATTTACCACCGCTTCGGGTTCCTGAATATCTTAAAAGTTTTATTTTTACCATGCAGTGATGAATAATAGAGTTCTGAATCCGCAAAGAAGAATATTTTGCTCTGAATATAGCAGTAGGTAATTAAGAAGAACGATTACAACTTTATTTAACAAGCCTCTACCACCAGCAACTCTATTAAAAACCAAATTCTGAGAGGCAAGCGGCATAATTAGAATTACAATCATAATACGACGAAACTCTCAGTTAATTACTTCATTTAGACCAGAATCTTAATGTATAAAACAATTTACATTCATCCTGTTGACAAAATAAATTAATATACACGGTTTGCATTTCAATTGAACCAACAATGAAAGTCGCCGTAAATGCTAATGAAAATATAAATAGTAACACTTAGAAATTAAAGGCCTGACTCATATCACTAAAAGTTCATGCAATAAAACTTGTAGTCAAAAGATTTGAAGTTTTGGAACAGTTTTGATTTGTTAGAATCTGTGCTCTTGTAGCAATATCACTGACATTCCGTTAGATATTTAGTTGTTTTTGAAAATATATTTCACAATGCTCACTCAAGATACTGAACTTTACTGTTTGATTGTCTGTCATTTCATGTGTACATTGCTATAAGTGCTATATAATCTGCGCATGTTACTCCTCCCTTGTATCAATCCTGGGGCCCTGGAGTGGATCCGTGCACATGCTGTACGGAAAGACCCAGAGAAAAATGGCGCCCTTTCCAATTCGCAACCTTAAACGGCATGCGCAGTTGAAAAGTTATCCTGGTTCAAACCTGTTTCGCATTAACGCAAAATTCTTTCAAAACAAACCAGGGCTGAGTGGGCCAGGGCTGAGTGGGCCAGGGCTGAGTGGGCCAGGGCTGAGTGGGCCAGGGCTGAGTGGGCCAGGGCTGAGTGGGCCAGGGCTGAGTGGGCCAGGGCC